AGGGGCTTTAAAAGTCTTCCAGCCTCTACCCATTACTCAGTTCCAAAACTGCTTCCACATTGTAGGTATCTGTCAGAACAGCACCCCACTCCCTGTTCCAAATTCCATCTTAGTTATCTCCTGCTGCTATAACAGAAATACCACAAGTTGAAGACTTTAACAAACAGAAATTTATTCTCTCACAGTCTAGGAGCTAGAAGTCCAAATTCAGGGCACCAGCTCCCAGTGAAGGCTTTCTCTTTCTCTGTTGATTCTGGGGGAAGATCCTTGTCATCAATCTTCCCCCCTGGTCTAGGAGATTCTCAGTGTGGTGACCCCAGGTCAAAAGGATGAGCTTTGCTTCTGGTGTTTCTTTCTTGGTGGTATGAGGTCCCTCTCTTCTCTGCTTGTTTCTCTCTTTTATATTCCAAAAGAGACTGACTCAAGATACAACCTAATCCTGTACACTGTATCCTGTCTCCTTAACATAACTGCCTCTAATCCTGCCTCATTAATATCATAGAGATTAGGATTTAGAACACATAAGGTAATCAAATCAGATCACAAAGTAGTGGACAAACATACAATACTGGGAATCATGGCCTAGCCAAGTTTACACACATTTTGGGGGGACACAGTTCAATCCATAACAAAGACCAAGTCTAAGGGCTTGTGTTTCTTATACATAGAAGTTCTCTGGATGATGCCTTGTTGTTGTTAGGTGCTATAGAGTTGGTTCTGACTCACGGCAATCCTATGCACAACAGAACGAAACACTGCCCAGTCCTGCGCCATCCTCACTATTGTTGCTACACTTAAGCCTATTGTTGCAGCCACTGTGTCAATCCATCTTGTTGAGGGTCTTTCTCTTTTTTGCTGACCCTCTACTTTACCAAGCATGGTGTCCTTCTCCATGGAGTGATCCCCACTGATAACAGGTCCAAAGTATGGGAGACATAGTCTTGCCATCCTTGCTTCTAAAAGGAGCATTCTGGCTGTGCTTCTTCCAAGACAGGTTTGTTTGTTCTTTTGGCAGTTCATGGTATATTCAATATTCTTCACCAACACCATAATTCAAAGGCATCACTTCTTCTTTGATCTTCCTTATTCATTGTCCAGCTTTCCCATGCATACGAGTCGATTGAAAACATCATGGCTTGGGTCAGTCGCACCTCAATCTTCAGGGTGATATCTTTGCTTTTTAACACTTTAAAGAGGTCTTTTGCGGCAGATTTGCCTAGTGCAATGCGTCTTTTGATTTCTTGACTGCTGCTTCCATGAGTGTTGATTGTGGATCCAAGTAAAATGAAATCCTTGACAGCTTCAATCATTCCTCCTCTTATCATGATGTTGCTAATTGGTCCAGTCATGAGAATTTTTGTTTTCTTTATGTTGAGTTGTAATCTATACTGAAGGCTGTGGTCTTTCATCTTTGTCAGTAAGTGCTTCAAGTCCTCTTCACATTCAGCAAGCAAGGTTGTGTCATCTGCATAACGCAGGTTGTTAATGAGTCTTCCTCTAGTCCTGATACCCCGTTCTTCTTCATATAGCTCAGCTTCTTGGATTATTTGCTCAGCATACAGATTGAATACGTATGGTGAAAGGATACAACCCTGACGCACACTTTTCCTGACTTGAAACCACGCGGTATCCCCTTGTTCTGTCTGAACAACTGTCTCTTGATCTCTATACAGGTTCCTCATGAGCACAATTAAGTGTTCTGAAATTCCCATTCTTCACAATGTGGTCCATAATTTGTTATGATACACAGCCAAATGTCTTTGCATAGTCAATAAAATACAGGTAAACATCTTTCTGGTATTCTCTGCTTTCAGCCAAGATCCATTTGATATCAGCAGTGATATCCTTCGTTCCACATCCTCTTTTGAATCCGGCTTGAATTTCTGGCAGTTTCCTGTCCATGTACTGCTGCAGCCGCTTTTGAATGATCCTCAGCAAAATTTTACTTGCGTGTGATATTGTTCGATAATTTCCTCATACGGTTGGATCACCTTTCTTTGGAATAGGCATAAATATGGATCTCTTTCAGTCGGTTGGCCAGGTAGCTGTCTTCCAAATTTCTTGGCACAGATGAATGAGCACCTCCAGTGCTGCATGCATTTGTTGAAACATCCCAATTGGTATTCCATCAATTCCTGGAGCCTTGTTTTGCCCCAATGCCTTCAGTACAGCTTGGACTTCTTCCTTCTGTACCGTCAGTTCCTGATCATATGCTACCTCCTGAAATGGTTGAACATTGACCAATTCTTTTCTGTATAGTGACTCTGTGTATTCCTTCCATCTTCTTTCGATGCTTCCTGTGTCATTTAATATTTTCCCCGCAGAATCCTTCAGTATTGCAACTTGAGGCTTAAATTTTTTCTTCAGTTCTTTGGGCTTGAGAAATGCCGAGCATATTTTTCCCTTTTGGTTCTTTAACTCCAGGTCTTTGCACATGTCATTATAATACTTTATCTTCTCGAGCTGCCCTTTGAAATTTTCTGTTCAGCTCTTTTACTTCATCATTTCTGCCATTTGCTTTAGCTACTTGACATTCAAGAGCAAGTTTCAGAGTCTCTTCTGACATCCATTTTGGTCTTTTCTTTCTTTCTTGTCTTTTTAGTGACCTCTTGCTTTCTTCATGTATGATGTCCTTGATGTCATTTCACAACTCGTCTGGTCTTTGGTCATTACTGTTCAACGTGTCAAGTCTGTTCTTGAGATGATCTCTAAATTCAGGTGGGATATACTCAAGGTAGCACTTTGGCTCTTGTGGACTTGTTCTAATTTTCTTCAGCTTCAACTTGAACTTGCATATGAGCAATTGATTGTCTGTTCCACAGTCGGCCCCTGGCCTTGTTGTGACTGATGATATTGAGCTTTTCCATCATCTCTTTCCACAGATGTAGTCGATTTGATTCCTGTGTATTCCATCTGGTGAGGTCCATGTGTATAGTTGCTGTTTATGTTGTCGAAAAAAGGTATTTGCAATGAAGCAGTTGGTCTTGCAAAATTCTGTCATTCGATCTCCAGCTTCATTTGTATCACCAAGGCCATATTTTCCAACTACAGATCTTTCTTTGTTTCCAAATTTCATATTTCAATCACCAGTAATTATCAATGCATCCTGATTGCATGTTCGATTAATTTCAGACAGCAGAAGTTGGTAAAAACCTTCAATGTCTTCATCTTTGGCCTTAGTAGTTGGTGCATAAATTTGAATAATAGTCGTATTAGCTGGTCTTCCTTGTAGGCATATGGATATTATCCTACCTCTGACAGCATTGTCCTTCAGGATAGATTCTGAAATGTTCTTTTTGACAATCAATGCAACGCCGTGCCTCTTCAAGTTGTCATTCCCAACATAGTAGACCATATGATTGTCCAGTTCAAAATGGTAAATACCAGTCTATTTCAGCTCACTAACGCCTAGGATATCAATGTTTATACATTCCATTTTGTTTTTGACAACTTCCAATTTTCCTAGATTCATATTTCATACATTCCACATTCTGATTATTAAATGGATGTTTGTTTTTCTTCTCATTTTGAGTCATGCCACATCAGCAAATGAAAGTCCCAAAAGCTTGACTCTATCCATGTCATTAAGGTCAACTCTACCTGAGGAGGCAGCTCTTTCCCAGTTGTCTTCTGAGTGCCTTCCAACCTCAGTGCTCATCTTCTGGCACTATACCAGACAATGTTCCTCTGCTATTCATAAGGTTTTCACTGGCTAATTCTTTTCAGAAGTAAACTGCCAGGTCCTTCTTTTTAGTCTTTCTTAGTCTGGAAGCTCAGCTGAAACCTGTCTGCCATGGGTGACCCTGCTGGTATTTGCATACCAGTGACATCACTTCCAGCATCACAGCAACACACAAGCCCCTACAGTACGACAAACTGACAGACGCGTCGGGGGAGGATGCCTAGGATATAAAAATGCACTTTAGCATGTTTGTTAATAAAAGCATGATAAAGCTTGCTTTTGTCAGATATAAAACATCTTTCTAAGATTCTGTACTTCTTCCTAGAGCTCTGTGCGTTTGAATGAGCTTAATTATGGTATAGTGGCTTAGAGTATGAACTTAGAAGTCAAACTTCCTCTTTCAAATCTTGGCTCTGCCACTAAGTAGTTGTGTGACTTTGGGCAAATTACCTAACATCTCTGTGCTTCAGTTTCCACATTTTAAAGCAGGGGTCATAGTAATAATAAACCTTATAGGGTTGTTGGGATGATTAAATGAGCAATATTTGTAAATTCTTGGCTCCTGGCGTATGGTATGTGTGATATAAGTATTATCATTATTAGAAATAATTTCTTCAAAATCTCTCTTTCCTGCTGAACTGAATGCATGGTAAGGGCAGAGTGCATGGATTTTGTTTATTATTAATTGATTATTTGAGTCTTTTGCAATATCTCTAAATAGGGTTATGGACCAACCCCCTTTTGTTGTTTAAAAATTGTTTTTATTTGTTTATCTACACATGGACTTTGGGTTTGAATCCTTAATCCTTGAAAAAGGATTAAGATGACTGACTACCATTTCATTAGCTTTTTGGGGTTTCATTTTAAATGTTAAGTAAGTGAGTTTGAGGAAGGAGGGAGCTGGAACCCACGGGGAAGGCTGGAACATTTAGAGGCTTTCAGGAGCTCAATTCTGGAAGCCTTGTGCTTTACCTAAGGAGACCTGGTGGCACAGTGGTTAAGCACTCAGCTGCTAACTGAAAGATTGGCAGGTCGAACCCACCAGCTGCTCCAAGGGAGAAAGATGTGGTAATCCGCTTCCCTAAAGATTACAGTCTAGAAGACCCTATGGGGCACTTCTACTCTGTCTTATGGGGTTGCTATAAATTGGAATCGACTCCAGGGCAATGGATTTTTGCTTTATCTGGGAAAATCCTGAGCTCTACAAGGGAAAGAAACTTGTGAATTTGCCTTTAGGAGCTGCTATTTGTCGGGGTTTTCTTAACGCTAGGGAAAGGGGAGGAGAAAAGGCAGACAGGTGATGATGACATCAGCAGGAAATTAGTATCAAGTTACAAAAGCCAGAAGATCCAGTTTTCACTTGCTCAGCCAACAAGTCTTGAGTGCTCTTCCCGCGTAAATGGGAGCTTCCTGGGAACTGTGAACACATGGAGGACCTGAATTCCAGTTTTCCTGAGTTCTATCAACCTCCAGAGGATCAGTGGGACTTGATCTGAAGGTATGTAATACCTTTCCTTCCTCGGGTCTCATGACCCAGCCTTTTCCTTTGCTTTACGTCATAGAAACTTGGAAAAACTAGTCAGCAATGGCGTTGTTTCTGCCTGAGTTTATCTGCCGTGCTGGGGAGAAAGAAAGTAAAAAGTGAAAAAAAAAAAAAAAAAAGAGGAAAAAGAAAAAGATAAAAACCAGGAAGACTCCAGCACAGCCTTTTACTGGCAGAAATATGCTAGTCCACAAAGTTCGGCTGACTCAGTAAAGCTAGGGGCCAGAATCTTCAGGAAACTACAATGTACCACTCATTAGAATAGGAAAATATCTCCAAGAAACCAATTATTTGACCTTAGGGATACTCAAAGGGAAGATCCCACGATAATCCCATGAAAAATAGCTTTTTCTCCCCCCAACAACAAAAGTAATAAATGTTCATTGCATAAAATTTGAGAAACTCAGATGGGAGCCAAGAAGAAAATTTATATTATCTATAGTTGTACCGGAGTCCTGGTGGCGCAGTGGTTAAGAGCTATGGCTGCTAACCAAAAGGTCAGCAGTTTCAATCTTCCAGCCACTCCTTGGAAACCCTATGGGGCAGTTCTACTCTGTCCTATAGGGTCACTATGAGTCAGAATTGACTTGACTGCAATGAGTTTGGTTTGGTTTTTGGATAGTTATACCAAGGAGGAGCGCCGGTGGTGCAGTGGTTAAGTACTCAGCTGCTAACTGAAAGATTGGCGGTTTAAACTCACCAGCCACTCCAGGGAAGAAAAATGTGGCAGTCTGCTTCTGTAAAGATTTACAGCCTTGGAAACCCTATGGGGCAGTTCCATTCTGTCCTACAGGGTTGCTGTGAGTTGGAATCGACTCGATGGGAATGGATTTGGTTTGGTTTTTGTTTATAGTTATACCACCTAGATATTCTTGCTATTGACGTTTTGTTTCTGCTATGTTTGCCTTCCTTTCGAAAGTAGTTTCCTGTTTCTAAAAATAGCCAAGTCAGGCACAGTGAATGTATACCTCAAGTCCTTATAGAATGGATAGTATTACAGTGAAAAGTTTTATCTGTGCATTGCTCCTCTAATTAGAACAGAATTTAGCGTGTAGGTACCCAAAAGCAGAGATGAGAAGGCAAGGAGGGGAAGGGAAGGTAGATCAATGGTAACAAAACAAACAGAATGGAAATAATGAGAATGCTGACACATTGTAAAAATTGTAACCTATGGCATGGAATCATTTGTATAAAAATTGTTAAAGGGGAACCTAATTTGCTGTGTAAACTTTCGCCTAAAACCCAATAAAATATTATCTAAAAAAAATTTACTAATCCAAAATTGTAACTTGTTACTTCCCTAATAAAGCCGATAATTGTGAGTATGGTCTGTGAGCTCTGTGTGGCCATTGCAACAAATTATTAACCCCAGAAGTAAAGAGTGTTGTGGGAAGGACAAGTGGTGTCAGAATTGGTAAAAAGGGTTGGATGGAGGCATGTCTGACCTCCACCTCATAGGAATCAGCTTTGGGCTGATGATGCTGATCTTGATTCTCCCCTCCACTGCCCCCAAGTTAGATGGAGACGTCTGACTCCACCATTTTACAATTGCACATGTAGAAATTGTTGAATTGGTACACGTAGAAATTGCATGTTTTGCTGTGTGTACTTTCAATAACAACAAAAATAAAATAAATTATTTTTTAAAAAGATTAAAAAAAAATTTAGTGTAGAGAAGACCATAGTTTATTAACCAGTCAGGTGGAAACACTGACGGGTAATTTGTAACTTCCTACACTGATCTGAGCAACTTTGTCTAAAACTACCCTTTCCTTCTGGGGTCTGGGATCACAGTTTCCGTGTCTGTGAGATAAAGACCTGCCCAAGGTTAGCCATCTAAAGTTAAGGATGTAATGAATAGCCCTCATGGCCTCTCATTGTCTTTGGGTTGGTAGATGCTCCAGAAGAATAAACCTCCATATTGCTTTATTTCTGAAATTTAAAACATAAATCCGAATGCTATTCCTGCCATTAGGTGGAAATGAATTTGGGCCTATAAGCACCAGCTGGGCTACCAGGCCTGAGCATTATCAGACTCGGTCCTCCTCCTTCTTGAGTAGTCCCACTGGGGACATTTTATCTGGGAGAAATCAGGGTAAATTGAGTTCCGATAAAAACTCTCTCCACACCTCCTAAAGAGTAACATACAAACTTGTGTTGGGGCGGAATTTTCTAGGCTGTTGGTATTTGAAGTAGCCTCATAGGAATTTTTTTTTTTTTTAGCACTTCCAGTAAAGTCTAATGCCAGGAACAGAGGAGACCAGGATTGTGGGAGGGGCCGGGAAGTCGGCGTGTCATGTGTCCTCACTCTCGAACTTCTTGCCCTACTTCTCTGTCTCTCCCAGGCTGGCCATGACAACTCAAGGTCAAGGTCTGGACACCAGTTTGGAGGAAAATTGTAGCATGGATTTTCGCCGGAAGCTTCTGAAGATTAACGAATACCTGGGGGCCAAAGATGTGGAGGCCCTAAAGTTTCTCTGCCGAGACTTGCTCTCCCACAAGAAGCTGGAGAAGTCTGGCTCAGCCTTGGAGATTTTTGAGCAGCTCCTGGCAGAGGAGCATCTGAGTGAGGAAGACCCTTTCTTCCTGGCGGAGCTCCTCTATATCATCAGGCAGAAGTCACTGCTGCGGCACCTCCAGTACTTCAAAGAGCAAGTACAGAACTTGCTGCCCGTCCGGAGGAGGGTCTCTCTGTTCAGGTAAGGAAGTATCTGCGATCAGGACAAAAGGATTTTCCATCTCTCCTCTTACTTCATCCTGGAAACATCCAGTATTCATTCAGGCCTTTGGGCTTTGAAAGGAAACTGGGATTAAGATCTGTTTCCTCATCTACCTCCTAGATTGATAGGAAGATTCAAAATGAGGAGATTTCTCAGCACTGGGCGCTAATGAGATGAAAGGTTGGGAGGTGAGCTCTGGGTCTGGAGGTTCTTCCCTCTGTTTGGAAGCAAGGCTTTTCTAAAGTTTAATAATCCTCTGTTGTTGTTGTTGTTAGTTGCTGTCGAGTTGATTCTGACTCACGGAGATCCCATGTGTGCAAAGTTGAAGTGCTCTACAGGGTTTTCAAGGCTGTGACCTTTCAGAAACAGATCGATAGGCTTGTGTCTCAAAGCACCTCTGGGTGGGTTTGAGCCACCAACCTTTCAGCTAATAGTTGAGCACGTAACTGTTTGCACCACGCAGGGACTCACTTCCCTTTGTTTTGTTTCTCACTTATCAGGTGAAGCTCACCTCAGACCCTCCTCAGCCTAGCAGAGCCTGTTGCTTTTCTTGTTTCGTATCCTCTATGCTGCCAGATGGAGTCCCTCGGTGGTGCAAAGAGTCAATGCGTTTGGCTGCTAACAGAATGGTTGGTGTTTAGAGTCCACCCAGAAGTGCCTCATAAGAAAGACCTTGCAATCCACTTCAAAAAAATCAGCCACTGAAACTCTATGGAGCACAGTTCTACTCTGACACATGTGGGGTCGCCATGAATCAAAATTGATTTGATGGCAGCTGGTTGGTTTACAGTCTCAGACAGTTCTTGCTCCTGAGAGTCATTGGTGTTTCCACTTCCATCCAGGGATCTTGAAAAGACAGTAATGCATACATGGAGCCAAATAAGCAAAATGAAAAAGATGTGCCTCTGGGGTAGGGAGAGAAATTATTCATATGATGTCCAGTTATAGATTTTTAAAATGCATTTTTGGGTGGAATAAACCCAGTGAAGTAAAATATAGGCATTTTTGCTCCCCTGCCCCCTCCCCAAATAAAAACTTCATTGCTGTTAAGTCCATTCCGACTCATAGCGACCCCATAGGACAGAGTAGAACTGCCCCATAGGGTTTCCAAGACTGTAATCTTTACAGAAGCAGACTGCCACGTCTTTCTCCCAAGAAGTTGCTGATAGGTTTGAACTGCCAACCTTCTGGTTAGCAGCCGAGTGCTTAACCACTACACCACCAGGTCTCCTTCATTTTGCCCAAAGAGGGAAAATATAGGCATTGGGCCTATGATGGGTCAGATCTTGGATAACACTGTTTTACATTGTTCTCTGATGTAATGCATAAATCAGAGAACCTCACAAGGAAGAGCCTTGGAAGAGTATTTTATGGCTCTGGGTGATTAAAACACTTTAGGATTTAGCACTTGGAACCAGCTCCCAGAACCTGAGCTACACTTGGGTCAGTGACAGAAATAATGAATTCTGGAAATCATCTTTTCCACTCCAATGGTTAAACATCTGGAGCATGGTCATTAGTGTATAGGGGTGTTTGTGTATGAGTGAAATATTCAGTTCTCCTGGTTGTCCGTGCTATGAATGTACAGAATTTGGAGTGGTTTCCCATCTGTTTCAGCGGTGGAGTTCATGTTGGGTAGTCTCAGGTCCTCTCTGTCAAGGCCCGTAAAGTAAGCCTGAATTTCCAGAGTAGAGTGAGGAGATGGGAGGGAGTACTAAAATGGTGTTTTACGTCTTCCCAATGTAATGGAAAAAGGGCTGCCTCTGCTGCTAACTGTTGTCTTAATTTAAGTAAGTCACTTAGAAGCTCAAAGTTTTAATTTTTAAATCTGTAAAGTGGGATTAATAATAGTCTATTCACAGGGTGGAGCCCTGATTGCACAGTGGTTAAAGAACTTGGCTGCTAAGCAAAAGGTCGGCAGTTCAAATCCACCAGCCGCTCCTTGGAAACCCTATGTGGCAGTTCTACTCTGTCCTATAGGGGTGTTATGAGTCAGAATCGACTCAATGGCATGGGTTTGGGTTTTTCGTTTTTTTACTTACAGGGTTGGGATCATTCAAATGTGAGATAATGTTTATAAAGGCACTTGGTGCTTTTACTGTGATGTTCTCTGCAAGTGTGAGATTTTGTCATTTTGGGTGTATTCTTAGAAACCTGCTCTATGAACTGTCAGAAGACATCGACTCTGAGAGGTTAAGGAGCATGATCTTCCTTCTGCCGAACGTGTTTCCAAAAACTGAGATGGTGAGTAGGTCATGTAGGATGAGGTCTGTGTGAGCACTGCCTTCATGGGGGCCTTCATCGAGGACTGGGAAGGTACTGGGAAGGGTTTTCAGGAAGGCTTATTTTTCTGCAGAAGGCAGTATCATATAGTATGGTTAGGAACATCGACTTTAGCGTTAGATGGGCCTGAATTCAATCCTGGCTCTGCTGCTAACCTCCTGACATGAAGCAAGTCATTGCACCTTTCTGAGTCTCCGTTTTCTCATTCGCTAACTTGTGGACAATCACACTCCTTCCTCCTTCCTGCTGGGAGAATTAGAGGAAATAACGTACATAAAGCATTAATATGGAGCCTGTATGTGGCACATAGTAAGCCCTCAGCCTGGAGCCTCTGGGTGGTGCGATGGTTAACGTGCTTGGCTGCTCTCTGAAAGGTTAGCGGTTCCAGATCACCCAGAGACACCTCGGAAGAAAGGCCTGGTGGTCTGCCTCCAAAAAATCAGCCGTTGAAAACACTATGGAGCACGGTTTTACTCTGACACACATGAGGTTGTCATAAGTCAAAATTGACTTGATGGCAACTGGTTTAACTAATCAGTAAAGGCTAACTATTATTGAGATCCGCTATGTTTTATGATATAGGAAAGTGTGGGGCACAACGAGGAAATGAGGAAGTGACAAACAGTGGCAGAGTGGGAAGTACTTAGTCATCATCTCCATTAGGTGCAGTTTCTGAAGGAGCCTGTCATGTCCTTTTTAGTGGACTTTGCACTGTATATTTCCGAGTTTCTGTGAAAATCAAATGAGGCAAATGTTTGTGAATGTGTTTTGTCAAGGGCTATACAGGTACTCTGCATTAATAACAATGTTTTTAATATTAATATAATTGTTGTCTTAATATTATTGTTATGTTAGTTACATTTAAGGGCAGGAAAGTAGCTGCATGTCTCTCTTTCAGACCTCAAAATATATTTTCTTTCGACTCTGCTAACAACTTGTGACAAACAAGTCAGTTAATCTGGTAAGGGGATAATGTTCAACTTTACCCTATATTATCTTGGTTGTGTTATTTAATTGCTAATTTTATTATATTTCAAATTATGTGATATTTGATAATACAAAAGAATACATGTAACATACATGCAGGGTATGAAATGTAGTGATAAAGTGAATGGCCATGAACTTATGAATGAGAACATCACCAAAGTTCTTTGGCCTACCTGTATAGATCTCCCATATCCCATTCCCCCCAGATCAACTGATAGTATTGACAAACATCTTTTTTTGTTTGTTTTTTTAATCATGGAGGTTATGAGTCAGAATTAACTAGATGGCAGTGGGGTTTTGTTTTGTTTTTTAATCACAGAGAAATGGGAAGCTGTCTTACATTGAATGGGTTAAACGAGGACTATGTTACTAATTCATTAAATGTTTTTCCTGGTGTGAGGCCTGTAGAACTGAGGAGGTTAATTCTCTATTTCTGGCCACAATCTGTGAGCCATTATCTTCCCTTTGCAGAGCCTCAGAGAATTCAGCCTCTTGTGTTCTTTTAAGCTGTCACCCTGACTCCACCTCTTGAGGTTCCTATCTCCCCAAGATGGGCTGTGGGCCCCTTGAGGGTGGGGACTAAGTCTTACTCATCAAAACTGTAGTCCCAGAACCTTGCAGAATCTGTCACAAAATGGTGCTCTGTAAGTCTAAATGAATGCAGGAGTGAGTAGGATGATGCAATCTTCCCCTTCTTTTTCTGGACAACTCCCTGAACCCTTCTCTGTGGGTGATTTTACAGTGAGTAACTAGGGGATTAACAGGAAGAACCAAATCACAACAATGGGGATGCACAAAGACACACTTCGAACGTTCTCAGAGTTGTTGCGCCTTCTCAGAGTTTCCTAATTTCCTTCCTTAGATGGTCCCTGAATTTCTGATGCCCCCCTTTTTTTTTTAACACTTTTTTTCTTTTCTTCTTAGTTTTTATTGTTAAAAAACCCCAAAAACTCAGGTACAGAAAGCGACACAAGACAAACATATAGCTTAATGAATTGTAAAGTTTGAAACCACCACCTAGATCAAGAAACTGAATTTTGACAGCTACTCCCGAACACTCTCCATTTGCTCCATCCTAATCACAGCCCCTCCCCACCCCCTGACTTTTATAGCAGTCACTTTGCTATATTGTTTCTTTATAGTTTTATCACTGAAGTGTGCCTCCTTAGACCACAAGTTTGTCTTGCTCAGTTTTTTCTTTTAGGTCTCTTTTATTTATTTACTTATTTAATATTTTATTGTACTTCAGGTGAAGGCTTACAGAACAAATAGTTTCTCATGAAACAGTAGCACACATGTTGTTTTATGACATTGGTTAACAACCCCAC